TATCTATCTATCTATCTATCTATCTATCTATCTATCTATCTATCTATCTATCTATCTATCTATCTATCTATCTATCTATCTAATAATTTTAATAATTAAAATTATTAAATTATTAAAATTATGATCCACATTGTAGTGTCCATCTCATAAAATCCAAATGCTACAGTTTGTAGTAAAACCGCAAAAATTGTATCTGAACCAATTTAAAAGGTATAAACACTTGGCAAGACACAGCAGGCTTTTACAACAGCGGTGTCATAAAGACACAGTTTTAAAAGAAGTTTTTTTTATCAACAATGTCATGACTTAACTTCCCTTCATTAAAGTCAAATTAGTAAATGGATGCATTGTGCACTAAATTTCATCTCCAGGTGCACAACATTATAGCAGAGAATGATAATGTGTTTCAGCTGCCACATAGGGTTTGTGAGGAAGAGGTTGATGTAGAATAGAAATGCAGAACAGGGAAATCCAGCAAGTCAGCAAGTGCAGTGACTGGCACACCCTGAAACATCAAAGAGCTTCCTCTGCAGAAATATTAGTAAACTTTAAAGTCAAGTTATGCATCAGCAGCATGAGGCCTGAGTCCAAATTGTGACTTAGCTCTTGGTGAAATTGCCTTTTATTTATGATTTACTGAGGGGCAATACTTCAGAGTGAAAATATCCAGTGGCATTCAAGTTTGTGGTTTAATTTTGAGCATAAATGTCACCCCAAATAGTGTGAACTTTCCAAAAACTTAAATGGGTTCAGAACAGTTGCATACAGTTTATGAGTCAAAAAAGTCCCCCCAAAAATTGCAAAAGTATAACCCTCAGTAGGCAAGTTGATTGTTAAAACAAAACAACTTGTTCCACTTATTGCAACTGAAGTCAAGTGTTTGGTGTTTGTATAAGTCATCCGTTTTCCTTTTTATGCTTATTTGTTGGAAATGATTTCAAAACACATGTAATTAGTTTCAGACAGACTTGCCTTTGCAATGAATTCCAGATCACAGTATTGCTGTGAAATGAAATGCACCAGCAGTAGATAGTACAATGGCTAACAGGAGTTGGTCAAGTTTTCCTTCACATTTGGTCTAAATTATGAAGAGAAATTAATGCTGCTTTGCATTGTGGTTGAAATCATTAGTAGTATGCAGCATCCTAAACAGAATGGGAGTCACAGACTGAAATATCAGTTCAATCCTCAAAATGTGGCGGCGTTCATAACTGACTGTCTGAAGATGGCTTCCAATTGCAGCTTCTGATTCAGGAAATGGCTAAAGGGTGATTCCACCTGATTTGCATTACCTTGCGCATCTTTAATGTTAAGTCTAACATACTTAGACATTTTGGATCTGGATTATATTATTCATCTCTGATGTTACATTACATGATGATTATGCCACTCCTTTGGATGAATTGTTCATTGGAGACGTTTTGGTTGGCCGGACACTCCAGGTAAGTTTCACAACCATTCATCTTTTTGTGGATAATCACTCTTACTTCAAGGACTTTGCTTATCATCTGTTTTTACATTTATTTTGATTTTGGAATGATTAACTTTTGACATTAATATGATAGTTTTTGTCAGATTTTCTGGTCTTGCAGGAAAGACACTGCTTCCTAAAAGAGAAATTTCCATTTTCTCTGGCTGTGTCAAAAGACATTAGAGTAAAATAAAACTTTATGACTCTATTAGAAACCTCTAGCTTAAAAAACAGAAAACCCACCATCTCTCATCTGTTACACGTTGTGGTAGTAAGATTCTTTGGGGCTACAGTTTGCTGTGTTAAAACCAGCATAGATTTCAGCCATTGATAGAGCAATGAACTGTTCATGTTACTGGTGACCTATGGTGACATGTCAGGAGGCCAGGTCAAAATTTATTCACCTTCATCCAATAAAAATTGAGGACTTGAAGCTTTCTGTTATCCACTAGGATGAAGCCATCCAGGGAGAAGGAATTAAATCTAAATAAAATGTATTGAATTTTCTGGATGTATAACGTATGTAAATCTAAAAAGGTCAATGAATTCCAACACAGTGCATTTCTGTGGTCTTTTATGTTTAGTTTTCATTTAAAAAGATTGTAAAATGTTCCACTTCTTCTTAGTCTTTCCAAAAGAACACACAAACAGAAAAAAACAAAAAAGTCCAAAACTTCTTTCCAATATTCTCCATGAACCACAGAGATGAGCTGATCTTCATGCAGGTGATGGGATGGTAAGAGATCAATATCTTCACATGAGGCTGAGACTGCGGTGCAGGAGCCAAGCACTTCAGGTAATGAACTGCCTGCTTGATATATATCCCTTACAGGGCGGTATTGCAGTGGTGCAACATGGTACTGCAACAGCAGCACTTCTTTGATTAGCCGTGTCTCTTCTTTCACTCTTTCCAGGCGTACAACAAATTGTTGCACACACAGACACTGTAGCCATCTGTCGACATGCCACCATGTCCACCCTGTTTTCCATTATTTGGGTCCTGCAGATGCTCACAGTACTCATAACTGTTTGTAACTCTGGAGGAAGAGATGAGATCATTATCATCAGGACAAGGGGCACAAAATTGTGCTTCAGTGATTATTTTTATTGACAACCATCCACTTCTGATTTGTTTATGTTAACCACTTCTATCTGACTTGTAAACAAACAGCTGAAATTTTATTTTACAGGTTTATGCAGATATTTTTTTTTGTTTGCTGTTTATATGCTTACTTCAATCCTTGAATTCAACTTTTTACTTTCAGTGGCTTAGTCTTCATTTTTGGATTTTTGGCTTTTAGAAATGTGCAGATGTAATCCAGTCACTTACTCTGTCGAATATGATGACAAGTTCACAGTCTGTGATTATGTGACTGTAAATTGTTACCACTAATCTAATGAAGAAGGCAGCCATTTACGAAATGAATAGTCGCTTGGCTCATCGAGGAGTCTTGTTGTCACTGCAATTTTCTGCACATTCAATGTAATGAATAAAGCAGCGTATTCTTTGGCCTTGTTTACTTCTGCCTGATGAGAATAACGGAGTCCATACAAAATCAGTCTCTATTGATCTGCTTGCAACGATCCAGAGCAGAGGTCATTGGTGTTCAAATTTATAACCAAAGGAGACTCCCTATGCCTACTCTTCATGCCTGATACAGGTCCCTGACTGGTCTATTTAATGACGCTTTGAGCAGGTTGGTGACTGTAAATCTGCTATGCTAAGACTGCACTGCTGCCTGTCGAACTGGACCTCAGTTCTCTAAATCTCACATTGGAGGAGGAGAGAAATATTTATTGTGCTCCTCGATGCAGCCTGGGGTCTGCAAATGATCTGAAGTCACCAAAACTGTCAACCTGTGCTGGCTAGTTGTAGAAAAACAATTGTGGCATGTATACATCTAGGCAATCCTGATAAATCTGTAAAGACAGTTGCTGTTGAGTTCTGTGGTATTCCTGTTAACATGCTACTTTCTCCACTGTAAGGACTCCTACATAACCAACTGCATGTTGGATATGGGTACCTTACTGTCTTCTGCACATTATTCCGGGTCCCTCATGCATTCAGATCCATACATTACAAAAGACAGGACAGAATGAGTAACTGACAATGAGTGGAATAGTCCTGGTGTGTAAATGATGGCTGGAAAGGAAAGAGTTGATCATTGTGGCTGATTATAAACAGAATCATGGATCTAGGGTGGCTTTCAAAAGTATTTGAAACCCTTGAATCCATAATTTTCTCAAATCTCAAATCATCACTCCACCCTGAACACACAATCTTCACAGAGATCTACGTGGAAATGCCAATCCAGGAAGGAAACCTGTCCCATACTCCAAAAACACATGGAAGAAAGGTGTGAAGGCACACATTTCAGATTTTTATCTTTAAAAAGTTTGTGAAACCACTTATACATCCTTCAAAGAAATGAATATTTATCATTGTCTTTAAGGTTTTTACCATGTCAGTTTTATGTGTGCTATTTCTTTTTATTTGTGGATCGTAACAAATGTAAGCAAACTGTTAGTAATTTTGTTGGTTAAATTGAAGAGTCTGTTTTGAGTTTCCCTTCTATACATTCAGGTTATGTGGACAATACATTAGTGCATGTAAGGACAATTATTTAAGTAATCTGAAAAAGTGAAACTCATGCATTTTCATGCACAAGTTAAAACATTTCAAGTTTTTCTTAATGAACTTTTCTTTTGGGCTTTCCTTCAGGATTTCCAAATCAAAACTAAAAAAAAAGAAAATTGGACTCACTATCATCAGTCCAGTAATTTTTCTCTTCTGAGTTCTGGAAAGATTGGTAGTGGCTCAACACAAAGAATCCAGCAGATTTAGCCCATGCTCTGGGCTGAAGATTCTTTAGGCACCAGATCTGGCCGCCGTCCATGCTTTGTGAAAATATTTTCAACAGTCTGTGCTTCAACAAACCTCTCAGTTCTGTGGGTTTTCCTGTTTCCTCCCACTTAAGGTACCATTGATATTTTAGAAGATGTAAATGTCCAGCTCTTGTCAGTGATGACTTTTTCTGACTTACCCTCTTTGTGGAAGGTGTCAATCACTTTCTGCTGCCTTCACTATGTCTATGTTGGCCATAGCGTAACATTTATGTATACAAAGCGTATATATTTTTAAATTGGTCTAATGGTCTAACCTCTGTGGATCTTTATTTATACTTAAATTCTAGCTGTAAGTGACAATCATCTAATAAAAAAACAAACCAAAAAAAAAAAAAACCTTGAAATGTCACTATTGATTATATCTCTATATAAAAAATTTTCAGTCGAATTAAAGTACTGACATATATACATTTTTTGATATTTAAATTTTGGATGCACCGGCAAGTCGAACAAATATATTTACGTTTATAATAGACTTTAAAAATAGCCCATGCCTTTTTTAATGAGGTAAACAGATGCTATAACTGTACATAACCGATACTGGCCATTCACCACAGCTGCTGCGCTGGGGTAAACTTGCACAGGACCCGCAGGGAACAGAGTCAGCAGAACGCCGGGACAGGCTGCTGCTGCACGGGAGCGGACCTGAAAAGTCCCGACAGGTTGGCGGAAGCTCGGTGAATTTCACACAGTGGGAGGCTGTGACAGCAGAAGGCCATGAAGGGACAAACAAGTATCGGCGCAGAACTGGCGAAGTCACCGACCCGTGAAGCGCGCACGGTCCGGTATGTCCGAGGACAGGAGCCCTAAGAAGCGCAGCTGTGGGGCTTCATCACCGACAACCTCCCTGCAACCAGATGGTGCCGTCAACATGACTCGGACGCTCTTCATCCTCGCTTACTTCGTTTTGACTTTGATTCACTGTAAGCATGTCTTTCATTTTGTCTGAAACTATGAGAATTTTGTTCCTAAGCTTTATTTTAGAATAAGAGTTTTCCTAAAAGATGACATCAAAAGTTGCCTTTACAACGACTGGATGACTGAGTTTCTAAGTGAAATGATAAATGTTGGCGATATTTAAAAATCATTCAATATTTGAATTGTACTTTGATTACGAAAAAGAGGGAAAACAACATACTGTAAATGGGACACAGACAACAAAACTTATTATCCACTTCATATACAAACATTGGGATGAACAAAGCAAATAGTTCAAACGTAACCTGACAGTTGTCAAAATATCTTGCACTAGATGCTTGTTTTTCTATTCTTTAGAATTTGACATATTTAAACAAAAAAGTTTCAATGCTTAGAATAAAACAGGTAGTAGAAGTGTCCTATTTTTAAAGGCTGTGTAATAATTTTTGTGCAGGAGTCCAACAACGTGTCATGGAAATAAATATATACTCTCCTAAGGAATAGAGTTAAGGGAGAAAAAATATGGTGGGGAAAATAAATTAACTAATCATTTGATCTAATATTATGACTAGATTAATAAGGATTAAAAAATGTCTAACCTTTTTTTCATCATTTTCACATATAATTGTTTTTACCTCGCTTCTCTAAGTTGTAACATTTCAGAAAATGATGGGTTTTCAGAAAGTTGTTTAGAATGACCTTCTCAGTTCCAAAATGGTTTACTCTGGCATTGTATTAGCACGCCTGAGCTCCCTCTCAATCAGTGGAATGTCAATGCAGTAGTCACGAGCGGCTTGTTCGAGTTGCCATGTTCAGCTTTTACACACACAGATCTGTTTGCAGCAGCCGATCAGCGGCGGCCTGGTTGTTTGGCAAATGGCTTTCACCTCTGGGGAAGGAACAGCTTGTTTGATTCAGTTTTCGAGGAGCTTTGATAACACACCATCTGTTGACTATTGCTTTGGAAGGCCCATTGGGTGGAACCTCCGTGTCAAGTGACTGACAATAGCACAATGCTGTCAGCATCCACAGGATGTGGGAGAGCTGAACGTCGCTGCACCACACCCCATGAAGCAACAGGAGTCCAAGGGGCGATAATGATAGTTTGAGTCTTTCCACAAGGAGGTTCCAAAAAAAAACAACACAGTTTTACAGAGTGAGATGAAGATTCCTAAAGATAACTTTGCATTTGTCTCCTTTATTGAGCATCACATATTTCTTATAAACATCTAATTTTAGATAATAGAATATCTTTTATTTTTCTTTCTGCTGGAAAATTAAATGGGATACGACTTTGACTTCTTATCGGACTTCTATAAATGCCAACGTTTATGGTTGTCATGACACAAAAAATTTGAATTTGAAGATCCATGAATACTTTTACTAAAATTATACCTGACTGAAGAAAGAAACCAGTTGTAGATGGTACATAATACAAGAACACAAATAACTTCCAAAAGTTCAGTCCCTTTTCTCCTGGGCCCAGGTAAGTCCTGGTGTCTCTGATTCACTCTTTATGCCTTAAGAGATGGTCAGCCACCTCTTATGGTGGCTGGGCATCATAAGAGACATTTATTCCCAACTAATTTTTCTATTAGTATGCAGGTAGTAGCACTTTGTTAACGACCAGCTCCTGCAACAATGTCTTCAAGCTCCTGATTTACCTTGAATAAGTTGTCAATGAAAGTCTGATGTTAAGCCATCAAGTCAGCAGTTTCCTCCATGGGTTTGAAGGCAATAAAACCCAGCAGACACCGGGAGATTTCAAAAATCTAAAAGAACTTGGACGTGTCTCACTGTCAAAGCTTGAAATGATACATTCTTGATAATAACTCTTGCTGTTATAGAAGGATACCAAACATAACATATCTGTATTTAAGGTCTTTTTCATACAAGTCTTAAATAATATTTACATTTTCTTTGAAATTGGAAAAATCTATTCGTGACAAATGCACAGAAATAAACATATGTTAAAAAAATTATGGAACATATGAGTATTACTTTTTAAATATATTAATAATGTTATAATTCACTGATGCCCAGATTAGAGTTGATAAGAATATTAACAGTTGATATTTTTTTTCCCTGAAGCTGAATTTTTGCATGCACAACCCCAACTGTCCCATAAAGATTTTTGACAAACACCGTTGTGTTACCAGGTAGCAGAAGTGCTGACTCAGAGGAACGTTTGATGAACTGGCTGCTAGGAAAGAATCGCTACAATCCGCTCATTCGACCAGCCATCAACAGGACAGAGAGAGTCACAGTGAAGCTGCAAGTGTCCCTTGCACAGCTTATCAGCGTGGTAAGGCAGCATAGAAAACACAGATTTGCATTTGTTTATTTGTGTGCTTTTTTTTTATGTATGTAGAGAAGTTACTGTGCTGCAGATACAAATAGGTAGATATGACACAAACTTCAGGATGGAAGAAAGAGGTGACCTAGACGACTGAGGAACTGCAAAGCTTTTCAATAGTAGTTAATTACATGGCAGCCTCAAGGATACAGCTTTAAACAAATGGAGGAAGTAGAAAATAGATCTAGTAAACTGTAATCTCTGCCCATGTCATGTCTAGATTGAAACTTCAGCACACTGGATTAAAGGGGACAATAAACTTGTTTAGCCACAGCGGCCAAGGCTCCTTTCTGATTTACAATAGAGACTGGTCTCAGCTGCAGATCAAGAAAGGAAGCTCATTCACAGCCTCACTTTATGAGCTTCCATTTCACTCCTTTGGATGATTGCTATCTGGATCCCTTAATTCATAGCCCATGTTTTAGTGGCATGATGGGTAGAGAAATGATCTATATGTTTTAATTTTTCATTTTATTTCTCGGCTCCCTATTCTCAGAATCTTTATGTCATGTGTGCATTTTGTACTGACTTAAACTATAGAGAATACACAATACTTTCTACTTCAAGGAAGATCCATTTAAAAGACGCTACTAATCATTGCATCATTTAAACATTATGAAAATTTTGCAAAATGTTGGTGAAGCTGCAAGAAATATAATTGCTGCCTTATTTTACCTTTCCAGAATGAAAGAGAACAGATCATGACCACAAATGTTTGGCTCACTCAGGTATGTTTATGGAGAACTGCATCATGTTGTTTATATGTAATATTCTACCCAAGCAAATGCCCTTCCCATTAAACTTGAACCGTGGCCATTATTTCTCCCTCAACGTGGAACAAATTGCTTCTGTAAAATAGCTTCAAACAATATTTCAGTAATAATGAGGCATGTAATTACAAATGGTTTTGATATTATGGAAGTGCATTGTGAGCCGACCAGATCCGTCTGTCTCTCCAGCACTGGGTTGATTACAGGTTGTCATGGGACCCTTCAAAGTATGAAGGTATCGACAAGCTTCGTATTCCCTCCAGACACATCTGGCTCCCTGATATCGTCCTGTACAACAAGTAAGCTTTGTTGTGTTATTGTTTCCAAGCTTGTGTTAGCATTTTTGGTTAAAAAAAAAGGTCAAAATGTGTGTCATCTTATTTCTTGATTTCTGGAATGGACCATTGCAAGACCTCCAGGCTAATCTAGAACATTTAAAAAGTCCTACTTAAACACTTTTTTTATCCTCCTACTGAAGCCATTTTTCCACTCTATTTGGCTGCCTAATTAAAACCTCTGTAGTTAAAGAAAGAGCAACATTTCCATTTCTCAGAATATTGTTGAAATAACTGTCTGAACCTTGCAGTTTGGGTGGCTTTCATCTTGATTACAGTTTGTTGACTGCCAATTTTCAAGATGTGTTAATTGTTTTTTGTCATCTGTTTTTCAACACCACAGCGCTGATGGAACCTACGAGGTGACTGTCTTCACCAACGCCATTGTTCTTTTCAATGGCAGTATCAACTGGCTTCCTCCAGCCATCTATAAAAGCGCCTGTAAGATTGAAGTCAAGCATTTCCCTTTTGACCAGCAGAACTGCACCCTCAAGTTTCGCTCCTGGACCTATGACCACACAGAAATTGACCTGATCTTGAAGTCTGAGGTTGCCAGTATGGACGACTTTACACCCAGTGGAGAATGGGACATTTTGGCATTACCGGGCAGGCGGACTGTCAACCCTCTGGATCCTACTTATGTAGATCTCACGTATGACTTTATCATCAAGAGGAAGCCTCTGTTCTACACCATAAACCTCATCATCCCATGTGTTCTGATCACTTCATTGGCCATTCTGGTCTTCTACTTACCTTCTGACTGTGGAGAGAAGATGACACTTTGTATTTCTGTCCTCTTGGCTCTCACTGTGTTCCTTCTTTTAATCTCAAAGATTGTTCCTCCAACGTCACTGGATGTCCCCCTAATTGGCAAGTACCTGATGTTCACCATGGTACTTGTGACTTTCTCCATTATAACCAGTGTTTGTGTGCTCAATGTGCACCACCGCTCTCCAAGCACCCATACAATGCCTGCCTGGGTCAAGCTGATATTCCTCGTGAAACTCCCCGCTTTACTCTTCATGAAAAGACCTCAGAACTACTCTGCTCGTCAGAGACTGCGTCAGCAGCGCTGCCTAAGGGCCAGGAGAGCTATTTTGGGTCTGGGTTACCCAGTTGCCCCCAATACAGGTTTCACCTTGTCTACATCTGCCTTGCTGTCCTCTGACTCTGCCTTCTCTACCCCAGGACACAAAAATGTTGCTTCTCCGATGGGACACAGCTACACCAACAGGATGGAGCCCAAACGGTCTGGTGATTACCTTATCAGTGGCTTCAATTCCACTCAGGATATCCAGCAAAGAACCAATCCCGATTGCGCTACTGATGTACAAGAGGCAATGAATGGGGTGCGCTTTGTGGCTGAGCACATGATGAGTGACGATGATGATCAAAGTGTACGTATCCACATTAATACTAAACATCATATAGTCCTGTGTAAAGTGGGTTAATAAATAGTGTCACAATTTAATTTCCTAAAATAAACAACAGGTTTGTAGTGCTAAATCTGTTTTGAATTTGTTTTGATTGGGATGTGCTGTCAAAAACTAGCAATCACAAAATTAGAGTGGCCAATATATGGAAAACCATCTTTGACAGTTGCTTGCATTGTAAACAGACTAATTGACAAATAGAAACAACTCTGAAAAGTTCTTTCCTTTTGCAGGTTATAGAAGACTGGAAGTATGTGGCCATGGTGGTGGATCGTATGTTCCTGTGGATCTTTGTCATAGTATGTGTGGTGGGCACCCTGGGCTTGTTTCTGCAGCCTCTTTTTCAGAGTTCCATTGTTCCCGACCAGCAGCCAATTTCAGAAACACCTCGAATACGATGAAATTTGAGGGGCGAGGTGTGACACATGGACTTTTTTTAAAGCTCTTTGTCACAGTAGTTGTGACAGGAACCAGTAATGTAAAATATCCAATCTGTTTACTGCAGAGAGACCAGAAAGTACTGACCTCTTGACTTCTAATTTGAATCTTGCCAATATGTGAAGGAGGTTTCGTTCTGTGTCAAGTAATGCAGTGCACAGATAGGATTTGGGATTTTTCTGTTTAAAATGAAACAATGAGACCAAATTAAAAAAAAAGTGTTAAATAATCGCAAATGACAGAATGAAGAATGAAGCTGTGCACAAAGAGCAAAGGTATGTCTAAGTGTCCTTCTACTGCACTGAATTATACTGAACTGTTGATGAAACAAATCTTAAAATTACACAGATATGTAATTTGTTAGATGTTGCCTAACTCCTAATTTGTGTTACTGTGTCATCAAATAAATAATAAAGACAAGTCTATTTCCCCTTTTAGTCTGATTTGATGTCTAAAATTGTTCACAAAAGTCTTCGGATTGTCCAGGTCTTGCCAAAGTGATTTGTCTGTTCTTTAGGAGATGGTATTCATTCTCTGAGCCAAGTGATTGAAAAAGACATTCCAGATCTGAACATTTTCTTAGGTATTTTAAATATGAGAATGTGTAAAAACATATTTAACATGTACACAATGTCACAATAGAAATAGAGGAGAGAAAGCGAGTTTAGCTTTCTCTCAGGTGTTATGCCATAAGGCTTTTAGGTTGTTTGAATATAGTGGGGTTGTGTAAATAAACATGTTTTAATCTATAAAGGAGAACAGTTGTGGTTTCTCATTTGTGTATTTACAGTTGAGCTGATTTTTGATAATTGTCCTATTTGCAGATTAGAAAGTGCAGGCATATAGACAAACGAAGCCAAAGCACTGAAACACATACACCGGCAGACTCCAGGTTTACTGCCCGATAAACAGTGCTGAGTGGGCTCGTTAGAGATTCTGCAGACTCTTAAGGAGATCCTCCTTTTAATCAATCAGAGCTTATGTTAATGGACAGAACTGCTGTACTGGCCGTCAGGTTTACAGGCTTCAAAGTCAATTGTTTATATATCTTATTCTTTTAGTTTACTGTTATTAGCAAAGTACCCTTAAAAATCAACAATAAAGTCTTGCATTCAAAATTGGACAAACATTTTATCCACATCAATCAATCTAGATTCTTATTTCATGCTTCACTTCAAACTTTTGGTCGATCTGTGCAGATTGTAAAAAAGTAGCAATGAACTGTTTTGGTTGTGAAATTACAGTTTTAAATCTTCTTGTGAAGTGTCTTTTGAATATTTTCACCACTTTGATCCACACATAGTATTTATGTGTTGTGAAGTAGTTTGACATTCTTTTAGAAATACAAAAGTGAAAAGCATGGCATGCATAGAGTTAAGTCCATATTTGTTCATACTCCCGACAGATAAAATTTAGTTGAAATTGTGAAATAATAGCATTTATGGAAAAAGATAACTTTACGTAAGAGCTTCTCATTCTATATGTCCTAAACATGGAAAACCTATTTCCTCATTCTGTCACTTAACTTTCTATTATCCATGTTTTTAACACCACTGTGAGGGATTCAAGCTTGTCTCACTTTCTTGGAAAGCTGCCTTGAACTTCAGCCAAATGTTGTCAGTCCTGGCTTGAATCTAAAGTATCTATTGAGACAACTAAAGATTAGTTTGATGGACAGGAGGCCTTCCAACCATAAAGATATATAATTAAAATATAAGTTAAAACACCCAAAGACTGCTCAGGAAATATAACAAGCACCAGTTGGCTGAAATGACAATAAAGATTATTCTAATAATCATTAATAATGGAAAAAAAACAAAAACAAATA